ACAACTGTAGTTTGGTTATTATGTCAACCTCAGGCTTGCTTTTGGATTGAGATGTTGCCCGGACTGTAGGAAGTTTTATTTCATATTTATACGTACTATTAGTAATGCTGATAACGTTTAACCATCCTGTTAATATGAAGTTCTAATCAGAAAGAAGTAATAGTTTAAGAAAACAGGTTCAGAATGATTTTACATTTTTCGTCCACTTCTAAGTAGCTCATGATAGAATCGAAATGGACTAGTAATTGAGTCCCAATCCTGTTAATTTCGTCATTTGAATGTATCACATGCTTGTAGGAGTTCAGTAATTTAGAATCGAATAGATAGTTGAGTTTGAAGTTGGAGTTTTCTTTTGTGTGTTATTTCAGTTAACGAGCTCAGTTGCATGACCCCTTTCAATAATTTCGTTTGGGCTTGTTCATGAGCCCAGGATTGACAGCCCACACTGAGACCATTAAGCCTCAATTTAGACTCTTGATTCTGTTTGGGCCTGTGCAAAGGCCCATGATGGGCTAGCATTATAAAATTGGACTGAATCCAGTCGAATATCTAGTCATGGGTCATTAACAATACTAATTAATTAGGCCTTTTTAGAGACAATCCATAATAGAAAAATCATAGTCTTTTAGGTTAGCTTTTGAAATAAATGAGGTGCGCCGCGCCCAAACAAAACCGTACATTGTGTGGCCCTCTTAACTATATTAAAATATTTAGAGTTCGGGCATGCCATTAGCGAATTTCATGGCCTCCCATAAAGTTAATAATACGTTAGTTGCTTTAGGCCCGGCATTTAATAATATTACTTTCTTAAACTCGGGTGCACATTTATGTGACTCAAATCCAAATCCCAACGAAGTCGAAATGTGTCAAAAACCACGGGTGCTTGTGTGACGTGGTTCGAGACATATTTTTACGACGTTGCAATTCTCTTTAAAAAAATAATAATAAAAGCGGTTCAAAGATAAAAACATGTACTAAAATCAGATATTTAGCCAAATACGACAATTGAGCGACCGCACTAGAACCACGGAACCCGGGAATGCCTAACACCTTCTCCCGGGTTAACAGAATTCCTTACTCAGATTTCTGGTTCGCGGACTGTTAATAGAGTCATATTTTCCTCGATTCGGGATTCAACCGGTGACTTGGGACACCATTAATCTTTCAAGTGGCGACTCTGAATCTTTAATAAATAAATTCCGTTTCGATTGGCCTTTAATTGGAAAAACTCTTTTACACCCTTACGGCGTGTAGGTAAAAAGGAGGTGTGACACCCACTTCCCAGAATTCCTTCTTGAGTGGGAAGGGTGCGCTCCATTAGCAAATCTAATTTCTTATACAGCTCATCCATCTTTGAATCACTTGACTCTATGTAATTCTGCAGTTGAGAGTCTAATTTTTTAACCAAATCTTCAGTAGTTATTTATCGTATTTCTGTAATCGTCATTTTGGGCCAGATCGATGCCCTGATATGAAGTTGTAATATACTTGAAGTAAAGAAGATTGAATGACACAAAATTGGAAGAAATTACTATTGAATATGAAAATTGTTACAAATTCTGATTTTAGCTAGAAATGTAAATTCGTAACACTAAACTTCATAAGCTCACTCTAATCTACTTCCATGGCGGATTGTACCTGAAAGATAATAGAGTGTGTAAGAGAGAAGAAGGATTAAGAGAGAATCGAAGAGAGAAGAGGAAGTTGGAAATACCCGATCATAACTACCCAGTTAGTTGCCTCTAACGGTATTTAGTTAGAGTGTGGAATAATCCTGGCCTTTGATCTTTATTAATCTGCCTTGAATCTCCACCGTCCAATTTATTATGTTGATCTTCAGCTGTATCCCTTTATTCCCTAATAAGCTACCATGTGTCCCTTCTACTAATAATATCAGCTGCCTCATTTGTAACGCCACTTTCTAATTCATCTACTTTCCTTCTCAAACCTACACCCAAACCCTTATTCATTATACAAACTTATTTGAAAATTGACTTATATAAATCTCATCGCCTGCTCAAAATTCTCCTATATTGGTCAATCAAGAGGTGAAATTGATGAATGTAAATGAAAAACATTACTCCTGAAGCTCGTCCCTACCTAAAAGTGCCCCAAAATACGAAAAATATTTGTAAGCGAACCTATTTTGTTTTATCAAATAAAACAGTTTAACTTAAAAAATTATGTACACATTTTCAGAGTAAAATTCAGTTTACCCCTTAACCTTAAGGATTAGGAAACAATACCGCTTTTACCTTTTGAATGGGAAAGAGAAACCCCTTTATGCAATATTTACCGGTAAGACTTTATTTTGAATAAAAGTCTTCTCCTCTTTAGAATATGTAAATAACTCTTATTTATTAGATATAAGTTGATCATCTATTTGCATAAGCATACACTCAAATAACAGCCGATATCAAGGTATTTTTTTTGTTACCCTCAACCAGATTCTTACTAAAGCATTCTCATGTTAGGATTTTTGAATGCAATGCCTCTAGATGAGCTAAAAGTAGGGCTGTCTAATGGTACGGTATTATTGGTATCCGTATCAGACCGTACCACTCCGGTGGGTGAGAAGGGGTGAGGAATTTGGGGTGAAGGGTAAGGTTAATGGTAGGGTACCCGATTTAGTACCCTTAGTACCGGTATCGTAAGTACCCTTAAGGTACCATACCGGTACCGCACCCGTACTAGACCGGTACTTAACATTTTTTTACTTAAATATAGCTGTTGACAATAGCCAAAAATAGCTATTTTTTCCTCCCTAGCCCCCCAACATCTCTCCTACCCCCTAATTTATGTTTTTAACCCCTAAGTTTGTTCAAATATACTCTAGCCCTATTTTAAAACTATAAATACCCCATTTCTTTTTTTCAATTTTCATTCAAAAACTCTCATATCTCCCTAATTCTCTATCTTTGTATATCTCTAATTGCAATTAACGTTTATAGCACTCAATTACTTTGGTATAACTTTCAAAAAGCGCTTTCAATGCAACACGATTTCAACTTGGAGACCACAGACATTCATTTGCAGAAGACACCTTGGAGACTACCGTTTTATTCAAAGACTGGATTAAAGCGGAGAGAAGAAACTTTGGCATTTCATAAATAATCCTAGAAGACGACGATATATATAATGAAATACTATCAACCGGAGAAGGCGGGGACGCAGACGAAGAAGTGCTGCCAATTCTAACCGAAGAGCCAAGAAAAGTTATTGAAAAATTACGTAAACCATTCAAAAGAAATATGTAATTTTATTTTTACAAGTATTGAAATACAAATAAATACTTGTAACTTGTATTAGAAATCTAATGTTTACATTGAATAAAATCAAATAAAAGGCACTTCATAGCCTTGAATTTTTTTTCATTAAAGCTTGTTTGTATTTAAATATAATTTTTTTTAATATAAAATTACCCCTAAGTACCCCTCAAGCATCGGTACCGCACCCTTAGGACTAGTAGGGGCACTTGTAGGGTAGCCAAAAAAATACTTTAACCCATACCCTTAAATACCGTTAAGAAAAGTACCCTTAAGAAACCCTCCCCTTACTCTTACCATCTCCGTACCCTTAACCTTTAATATCCCAGTACGGCAATACCCTCCCCTTAGACAGCCATAGCTAAAAGTAGCCACATTGCCATTTGATTGTCGCTAATGAGGACCTTAGTACTATACCCGCAACAAAAATTACTTGCAACAGAATAAATGTAGCCATCGTCCGAAATTTAAAAGAAGCTATCTTTTATTTTAACAGACACATACATTTTGCTGAATAATACTAGTTAGACTTGGACAAGTAGTCGTGTTGTATCTCGTAAATGGAGAGAAAGTTTTGATTTTACAGAAGTAAAATTGAAATTAGCTGTGTAGCCTCCTCTTCCCAACAACCGTGAACTAGTAGTTTCATGTTTTTGTTTGTTGAGTTCAAGGGGAAAAAAAGAAAAATAAATTTACAGCAATACTTTTTTCCTTGTATAAAAAATTCTAATACTCACCGGAAAATGTTCTTAAAGGAGGTTTACTTTCCCATAAAGGGGATATTTTTTCCCAACCCTTGAAGATTAAGGAGATAAACTGAATTTTATTCTTGAATCTAACATGACTAGTTACTGATAGCCCGTGCTGAGCACGGACCCAATTACTCTATGCTAAATCTTGAGGTGTAGCTTTATTAAAATTACTAACATTCAGTAAAGATTATTTGTAATCCTGCGAGTTCATAAATATTATTTGTAATTCCATATATAAAGATTTTTATTAGCAGTGATGTACAAATTATTCTTTATTATTTACAACTAATAATGGTCATATGTTAAACCCTTCGGCTGAGATATGTACTATTTTAAAATATTTTGGAGTGACCAATTATCTAAACCAGCACCTTCTTGCATATCTAAGCGTGTATAAGTACCTTTTTTGTTTGCTATGAGATCTATTTGGTAGCAGCTATCAAATATACACGTGGCAACCAAAGATGAAGCTAAAAAAGAGAAAAAATAAAGCAATTACATGAACTTTTGAATTTGAAACTGGAAAGACGCGTATGTACCAAATAACCCCTATTTCCTAAACTACCCCTACGACTCCAAGCTCCTCTCGCTAGCCGTTTCTATAATAGTAGTAAAACAGTTACCATGATTAAAGTAATAAAAGTTTATTGACAAAACACTGAAATACATACCGTACATTAATTGGTTTAATCCAAATACAACTGTAAATTTTTTCCGTCAAAGCATTTCCTCAAAATATTATTCAGTATGGTTGTGTTTCTACCACTAGTCCTAACATGACTTACTTATTATTCGGAAATAATTTAATTTTAAATTTCTTATTTTATTTCTTAAATTTCTTATTTAAAAACTAAAGTATAATTCTTTTTTTTTTTTTGGGAAATCTATTTATATATTTAACTTAAAGGGCGTTCATCAAAGACAATATAAAAGGGAGAAAAAAATTAAGCTAGAAATAAACTCACTTTCAATAAACATTCAATAAATTGGAACATGATAATACTTCTTCATCAGTCTGTTATTTTACCATAATAATCGTCTTGCTACTAAGAAAAAATTCACCAAAGAGTCTCAGGTAACAATAGAATAATTAAAATTGTCTCTATAATCCTAATTAAGAATTAAGTCTAACTACTAAAGAAACAGATCAAAGAAATTAAGATTTATGCAATATGTCTAAGGACATTTAGGACCTCCTTCCTTAGTCTTCCAATTGTTGTAGCAAGGACATGTTTCTTTGTTGCCATAAGTTCCAGGAGGCACACACAAGCACTTTGCACAGCATTTTTTACAGAAAAATAAGCATGGCTTTTTGTGTGACGTTGCTGAGCATCTGTACGTACACTTCGGTTCACAATCTGTTATAACACAACATATCAAAACTAAAGTTATATAAATATTATCACTCCCTACCTAATAGTAGCGGAGCCAGAATTTTTACCAAGGGATTCGAAATATTATCGGTTATCTCACCTTACAAGTCTTATTTAATTAACACTTCATTAATTAGAACAATAAGAATAGATCTAGGGAAAAAATAATTCTTTGTCTTTTTACAACAAAATTTTATTTCAAACAAATTTAATTTGACCCTCTTCTCACAATGTACATATGTGCATATTTTTATTTTTTTTACCATGTAATTTTTACTTGTATAAAAGCGAAACAGATTCACAAACACATTCTCAAAATGTAGCTCCGCCTTTAAGTCGACTTATATATAGTGGAAAAATTTACAGCAATTGTCACAAACAGACGACAAAAAGAAGAACAAAATGGAAATCTACAAACAAAATGGTTAAAAAGTGGCAATTCCTTTTTTTTTTTTTTAGTTTAACAGTAAAGCTGAAGAAAAAGAAGAAATAGGGAAAGTATATACCTTCAGGACGGAGTTTCTTATAACCCTGCTCAAATGAAGGAAAATAAGTTTTATATCAACACGGTGTTAATCAGGATACTAAATTGATTGATTTTAATAATTACCAATATTGTTTACCTCAACCACATTGGAGAAAGTGATCAATACCAAGAACATTGACAAAAGCAACAACAACCTAGCACTGTAAGCCATATCTCTTCAAATTTGAACAAACAGAATATCTAAGCAGGAAAGAGGAGATATGGTGAAGTGGAAAGAGGAGTAAATTGTGTATATTTATTGGGGGATTTTCTAGGGACGAAAAAGAGAAAATATTGGCGATATTTGGGGGTAATTGGTAAGACAAGTCCATCTTAGAAATCTTGAAAAAGTAATAGCGGTGAGAGCGCCAGTATTTTTGGTACTTTACTTTTGTTTGGATTGATTGTGTCAACTATTTTTGGTATGTTTAGTTGCGTCATTTTCATTGGATTTTGGTATAACATTTAAAAAGCATAAAGATTGCCTTTTCCGTTACAGCTTGTTTGGATGCAGTTACACGTCGTTTCATATTGTATTATACTGCATTGTACGTTTGGATAAATAGTATAATTTGTCATCGTTTCATGATGTCACGCACCAACTATATGAAGAATAAACTGCTAAAGTTTATGGATTGAATGCAGTAAGAAACCCTAGTTGAAAGGGAGAAGAGAGACGAAGAGAAGAGATGAAGGAAATGAATGAAACAGTAACAGTTTTCATTCTGCTCTAATGAGCTGTACAGTAGCCTTTATATACAAGGAGTTAACTTCTCACTAACTAATCCCCTACATGATTAACTTCTAACAACCTATCTAACAAACTTAACTAATCCAGCCATGTATAAATAGACTAAACTACCCTTCATGCTTAAGTCGCTCCTGTTTCTTCAACACTCCCCCTCAAGCTAGGTGATACAAAAACATTAAGGACACCTAGCTTGGACATCAAGTACTCATGTTGCACTCTAGTTAAGCCTTTAGTTAACACATCTGCAAGTTGTTCTTTTGTGGCAACATACTCTGTCTTCACCAGCCCCTTTGTATCTTTTCCCTTATAAAGTGACAATCGATCTCAATGTGTTTGGTACGTTCATAGAATACTGGATTTGCAGCTATCTGAATTGCCGCCTTGCTATCAGCGTGAATGGTCACAGGAAAAGCAACTGGCACTCCAATATCTTTAAACAATCCAAGTATCCAAACTACTTCTGCCACAGTCCATGCAATGCTTCTGTATTCTGATTCTGCAGAACTCCTAGAGATAGTGCTTTGCTTCTTAGACTTCCAGGACACTAGTGAGTCACCATACATAATGAAGAAGCTAGTTACAGATTTTCTAGTGAGAGGATAGGCTGCCCAGTCAGCATCACAATAGGCTGTGACTATGTTCTTCTTCTCAGTAGACAACAGTATGCCATGTCCAGGCTGATTTTTCACATATCTGACTACTTTTTGTGCAGCCTCCATATGAGATCTTTTGGGTTTTTACATGAACTGACTTAGTGTCTGTACACTGAAGGCTATGTCTGGTCTTGTGACAGTTAGATAGAGTAGTTTTCCTAGTGGTGTTTGATACTTGCTAGGATCAAGTAACAACTCACCAACTGTTGTGTTGTGCACACTTGTATGTTCATCATAGTCCTTAGTAGTTAGTTTAGTGTTGGCTTCAATAGGTGTAACAGCTGGTTTTGCATCTCCCAGCCCAAGCTCAGAGATTAATTCCAGGGTATACTTCCTTTGGTGCATTAGAATGCCTTGTTGTGACCTAGCAAACTCAATGCCAAGGAGGTATTTCAGTTCAACTAGGTCTTCCATTTTAAAGGCTTGCTGAAGTTTGAGCTTGACTTCTTCTAATAGCATCATATTAGGTCCAGTTAGGAGCATGTCATCTACATACACCAGGATAACTATAGTGTGTTTGCCTGTTCCTTTTATGAACAATGAGTGGTCATGTTGGCTATGCATAAACCCAAACCTCAGTAGTGCTTCAGAGGGCTTGGCTTTCCACTATCTTGGTGCCTGTTTAAGTCCATATAAGGATTTTGGAAGTCTGCATGCTGGTCTGCTCTCCCCCTGAAACTGAAATCCTTGTGGTAGAGTCATATAGAACTCATCATGTAGATCCCTTGCAGAAAAGCATTGTACACATCCATTTGGTGGATATGCCAATGTTCAGAAGTAGCAACAGCTAGAACTGTCCTAACAGTAACCATTTTGACTACAGGACTGAAAGTTTCCTGGTAGTCAATGCCCTCTTGTTGGCTATAACCCTTGGCCACAAGTCTAGCTTTGAACCTCTCCACCTCCCCTGTGGCTTTGTACTTCACTTTATATATCCACTTACAGCCAATGGGTACTTTATCAGCAGGCAAAGGTACCACATCCCAAGTATGATTGGATTCTAAAGCAGCAATTTCAGCTTGCATTGCATCAACCCACCTGGGATCCTTGACTGCTTCTTCAAATGTAGTAGGTTCTACTATTGAAGAAAAAGCAACTAGATAGCATTGATACTTAGGAGACACACCATCATATGAGATGTAGTTAGCAATAGAGTAAGGAACAGATTTGTGACTTGGACCTATCACAAAATCCTTCAGCCAGATAGGAGCCTGCTTGGTCCTCAGAGATCTTCTCGGGGCAGTAGTTTGTTGATCAGCAGAAGGCAATAAGTTTGACACTCCTTTAGTGGTACTAGATAGCTGCTCTGATTCCTCCTGTCTTGAGCCATCACCTGCAGGGCTCAGATTAGTAGAGGCAAAAGGAGAAGGTGCCTGTCCTGAACTGTGAGGTTCATGGGAAGTTGATATACAGCCTTCACCATAAGTGGAGGATCAGAGAGAAAAAACACGGGTGGAGATGAATGAGAGGTAAAAATATCCTCCCTGAAGGAGACATCCCTATTGATAAAGAAAGAGTTAGTAGCAAGATTTAGTAACACATAACCCTTTTGTGTATCAGAAAAACCCATAAGAACAGCAGGTTTAGCCCTGGGAAGGAGCTTATCTGTCTCTTCAACTTGCTTGGCATAACATAAGCAACCAAGAACTCTCAGATGCTTCAATGTAGGTTCATGTCCATATAGCAGCTCAAAGGGAGATAAGCCATTGAGAACAGAAGTTGGCATTCTATTGATAATATAGACAGATGCAACAACACAATGGCCCCAATATTTAATAGGAATATGTGCTTGAAATCTCAAGGCCCTAGTTACCTCCAGAATATGCCTGTGTTTCCTCTCAGCAACTCCATTTTGCTGAGGGGTGTATGCATAAGTCTTCTGGTGAATAATACCATATTTTTGAAATAGGGCATGACAGACAGAATTGACAAACTCAGATCCATTATCAGACCTAACTGCCTTTAGAGCTTTGTTGAATTGAGTTTGAACAAAGACAACAAACTGAGTAAGAACTACACAAACATCAGACTTTAGTTTCAAGAGGAACAACCAAATCATTCTGGTGAAGTCATCAACAACTGTTAGAAAGTATCTATGACTATCAAATGTTGCATATTTGTAGGGACCCCAAACATCAATATGAATTAGATAAAAAACATTAGTACTTTTAATACAGCTATTAGGAAAGGGAAGTCTGGTTTGCTTAGCACATGGACATACAGTGCATTTATTTATGATGTCAGTAATATTTGCTAGTTTGGCAGGAAACAACTTTAAAAGAACCAGACACATGTCCTAATCTTTTGTGCCACAAGCTAACATCAATAGTAGAGTTGCTCATGTGTGACTTTATTCCAGCTGCAGCTAATAAAATTGCAGTGAGCTTCTTGGAGCCATGCTTCTGCAGGAAATACAGGCCATCTCTCTCCCTACCAATCTCCCTCACCCTGCCACTGAAGAGATCCTGAAATACACAGAAATCAGGATAAAAGGAAGCAAAACATCTTAAGTCTCTTATCACTTTGGAAACTGACAACAAGTTGAATTTGAACTGAGGCACATAGAAAACTTCTTTAATGACATTGTTGTCTGAAATATGACTATCTCCAATGTGTGTGACTTGAGTGACATCTCCATTAGGTAGTAGAACTTTTCTGGGATCAGTGGGAGTAGTTAGGGAGGTTTTGGTTAACAGATTGATATCTGAAACCATATGGTTTGTGGCTCCTGTGTCAATGATCCATTCCTGTGGACTAGGTGATGATGCCAAAAGAGCAATGGTAGTACCTAAGGCTGACTGGTGGGGCGGGCCCAAGCCTAAATGGGCCTCGTGGGCCGGGCCTAAGTGGGTCGGTCCTATGTGGGCCCGGGCTTAAACGGTCCCGGGCTTCATGGGCTTTTGGTAGGAACCATACCGGGACTGGGACCACGAACTAATGGTCCCGCGCTAAGTGGTCTGGTCCCGGGCCTATGTGGGCCTAAGTGGGTATATATATATATGGGCCTAAGTGGGTCTGGCCTATTTTTTTTTAAAAATTTTTATCTAACGCAACTTCTTGTAAATTATATTATATAGTTGTGACTTAAATTTTTTAATTCAAATTTAAAACATAAAATATTGTAAAGAGATATTCAAAGGATTGCGTTATAATTTTTATTATTATGCCATTAACAAAACATGGCAATATCTTTCTTAGTCTTCCTCCCCCCAATGGAATGAGACAACAAGGTGCTAATACCACCATTGAGAAGAAAAAGAAACTAATCAAGACGTGCCAAAATACAAGTTACATATTAATTTTACATGGTATCTCTTACGAATTTCATAAATCCTTCAAGGTTCGGAGGAATTTTCGCTGGTGGCGGCGGAAAAGAAGCTTGTTTATCACCGCTTTCGGGCGAAGCTGCATCCTCCGCAAGTTCAGCTAGCATTTTTTCGTAAGCTTCGTCTACCTCTGGTTGTGATTCAGCAAGTCCAAGATTTCTTCGTTCCGAACGGATCCAATCTCTGAAAAGTACTGATTTTTCCAAGCTCTCCCTCATAGACGCCCTATAATCACCGAGTTGAAGTCTTGCTTGACTGAAAGCGCTCTCCGATGCCACTATTGAAGCTTAAATGGTTAAAATGTCTCGGGCCATCCTTGAAAGAATCGGAAAGTGTTTTTCTTTGTCCTTCTACCATTCCAAAAGATTAAATGAGCCGTCGGGATTCACTTCCTCAATTCCCTGTGACAAATAAACTTCAAGCTCATTTAGTTGTGAACAATCACTAGTGCTACAACCTTGAGAACCCCCGAACCCGGCCCAAGTAGTAAGTGCTCTTACTCCCGCAGTTCTTTTAGATGATTGAGTACTAGAAGAAGAAGGAGTTGGAACATTTGGTCTAACATTATCTATTGCAATTTGATAAGCACTATAAATAGTTTGAGCATTTATTTTAATTGAGGCTTGTGCGTCCGAAAGTGTAGACAACTCCTCATCTTCAAGTGCTAAACCATTATAAATAGATTGATACCAATATTGAGAACGTCCTAATTTCATAGTATGATTTAACAAGGCAGCAACACCATAAATAGGGAGAATAGGGAAAAAATATTTTTTAAATTTCTTTCTCATAGAATCAATAGCTTGTTCATAAATTTCCCCACCCTCTGAAAAATAAGCAAACAAATTTGCAAGTTCTGCAAGATAAACTAAACAGTTAGAAATAGTAGGATAATATTGCCTAGAAAATTCATTTGTAGCAATATGAAATCTTTCTAAAAGATCTACAAGCATTTTAACATTAGCCCAATCCGCATTTGTAAGGTGCTCATCATCATCACTTACAAGAGCATTAAACATTGAGTTTATGGGGTTTTTAAAATCATATGCAACAACTAAACTTTCATACGTGTAATTCCATCTTGTTGGACAAGGTTTAGGAACCTATCTTTCTCTTAGGCCAAATTCATCGCATCTTTTAAAATATTCTCTAAGTCTACTTCTACGGTTTGAATAAAAAAGCCAGTGAAGAGCCATTTAACCTTTTCAATTTCAACATTTAAAATTCTCATACCATCACTCACAATAAAATGGTAAATATGACAAATACATCTTACATGAAAAATATTACTAAATGCAGGATTTAGTGTAGTGGTAAGCAAGGCTACAGCATTAGTGTTACTAGTAGCATTATCCATTGAAATTGACATTATTTATCACTAATGCAAAATATCTACAAATATCTGTAACAGTGCTAGAAATAAAATGCCCTGTGTGACGTGAATTAAATATTCTATAGGCGATAATGCGCTTTTGCATTATCCAATCCTCATTAATCCAATGACTGGTAACAGTAAGATAACCACAGTCATTACCACTTCTACCAATATCAGTAGTAATAGCAACACGATAATTAATATGAGTAAATAAATAGCGCAAATATTATTCATGTTCATGTTTATATTTATAAATATCGCTCTTTACGGTTGTGTGAGGCCATCCTTTATAAGTAGGATTAAAAACTTTTCTAATATAATGCACAAAGTGAGGGTTAGAAGGAAAACTGTAGGGTAAGCACATAACAGTAACCATTTTTGCCAATTCTTCCCTATCTTTTCTTGGATCATAATATAAAATACCACCGGTAACAGTGTTAATTCCCGGTTGAAATTGATTTGACCCGGTACTAGGGTCAGGCTGACTAGGTAAACTTCGACCCCCCCCCCCCCCCGGCCGCATCTTTCATTTGAAGATATTTAACTTTATCTTGAGGGTGTATCAATATGTGTCTCCTCAAACTTCCCGTCCCCCCTACCCCCCCCCCCCCCCCCAGTAATATAATTAAAAGCTAACTCTTTGCAACAAGTTTTACATTTAGCTTTATTTTTTTCTCTTATTTGAATAAAAAATGACCAAACAAGAGATGTTT